AGAATTAAATTCTATCCTTATCTCACATCATATACAAAAATCAACTAGAAATAGGTTAAAAACTTAAACATAAGACCTGAAACCATAAGAATACTACAAGAAAACAGGAAAAGCTTCTTGACATTGGTCTGGGCAATGGTATTTTGGATATGATACCAAAAGCACAGGTAACGAATGCAAAAATAGACAAGTGGGATTGCATCAAACTCAAAAGCTTCTGTAAAGCTGAGAAAATGATCAACAGAATGAAAAGCCAACCTATGGAATGGGAGAATATATTTGCAAACCTTATATCTGATAAAGGGTTATATCCAAAATATATAAATAACTCATACAACTCAATAGTAAAAAATTCAATTTAAACATAGGCAAAAGACCTAAATAGACAGTTATTAAAAGAAGACATACAAATGGCCAACATTTATATGAAAAGATGCTCAATATTACTAATCATCAGGGAAATGCAATCAAAACCACAGTGAGATCACGTCACGCCTGTTATAATGGCTGTTATCAAAAAAAATAAAAGAGAAGTATTGGTGAGGATGTGGACTGTTGGTGGGATTGTAAATTTGGCACAACCACTATGGAAAACACTAGGGAGAGTCCTCAAAAAGTTAAAAACAGAACTACCATGTGACCCAGTAATCCCACTTCTGGGTATATATCCAAAGGAAATAAAATCAGGATTTCAAAGAGATATCTGCACTCCCATGTTCATTACAGCGTTATTCGCAATAGCCAAGATACAGAAACAACATAATGTCCTTCAACAGAAAAATGGATAAAGAAAAAGTGGTACATACATACAATGGAATATTATTCAGCCTTAAAAAAGATGGAAATCCGGCCCTTTGCTACAACATGGATGGAAACAGAGGACATCATGCTAAGCAAAGTAAGCCAGACAGTTATAGACAAATACTGTATGTTCTCGCTTACAAGGGGAATCTAATAATCAAACTCAGAAGCAGAGTAGAAATGTTGGTTGCCAGGAGCTAGGGGAGGAGGAAATGGGAAAATGTTGGTCATAGGGTACAGTTATAGTTAAGTGGGATGAACAAATTCTGGAGATCTAATGTGCAGCATGGTGACTACAGTTCAGTACTGTATCATACACTTGACATTTTCTGAGGATAGATGTCAAGTGTTGTCACCACACACTCAAAGCCAGTAAGTATGTGAGGTGAATGGATATGGCAATTAGCTTGATTGTGGTGATTATTTCACAATGTATATGTATAGCAAAATAACAAGTTGTACACCTTAAATATATACGATTTTTACTTGTCAATTTACCTCAGTAAAACTGGAGGTGGGAGTGGTTAGCAGTGAAGAAGCCAGCTGCTTTGGAATAAAATGCTCCTCTGATGGGCAAGGTCAGTGAGGAGAGATCCTGAGTCAGGACCTTCCCGGAGTGCCTCAACCTGGATCAGCCTCAGACTGTCCAGAGTCCAAAGCCTGGCTCCACCATCCTTGTATTCCTGCGTGATTTTATGACTATGCACATTCCTTGATCTTTCAGAGGCGCATTTATTCATCGGTGAAGTGGGGGCCAAGGGCAGTTCTCGGTGTTAGGAATCAGAATTCCTGTCCCTTCCTCAAAGCTCAGGTATGCTTTGAGAGCCACCGTAGTCATCTGTGCGCCTGGCTGTCCAGAGGCCAGCACCGCTCAATCGGCTGCGTGGAAGGTCCTTGAGCCCTCCCACGGAGGGCAGAGCGCTGTGGTCGCCTGAGCTGGGGTGGCCCACCCCGCTCGCCCCGCCTAGGGGCTGGGCTCCGGGA